CGCTGGGGATCAACGGGCGAGGCAAGTGGCACATTCGGCACGCCAGACCCCGGCAGGTCAACAAGTGGAGATGAGGGGCCAGCACGCGGGTCAACGTAGGGTTTGAGTCGCGACGAATGGACATACCAACGACGTTGGCCGTACTGGATGCGAACACTCTGGGGGTTCCGAATGTCCACCAGCCTCACAGGCCCCCGCCAAGGCCTGTGCAGTTTAGGGGACGTTCCCACTGGCACCTGAGGGCAATGGAGCCATGCCAGATCGCCCACCGACCAGGGCATGTCAGTTCGCGATCGACGCGCATACCTCTCGTTCCTTGCCTGCGTACGGGCCGTCGCACATCTGGCGGCCTCTCGCGCCTCTGTAACCCGTTTAAGCGAGTCCCGTACGTGATCAGGCAAGGAAGGGGACGGTTGTTTACCCGCCGTACCCAGTTGCACATCAATCGGGGGTACATTCTCACGGCCATACATCAGGAAAAATGGCGAATATCCTGTGGACGCGTGCGGAACCATGCGGTATGCCGCCAGGACGCCCGGTATGTGCAAGTCCCAATCGGTTTGTTTTTCACTTACCGTGTGACAAAGCATGGCCGAAAGGGTGCGGTTAAACCGTTCCACCATGCCATCCGTTTGCGGATGGTAAGGGGAAGTGCGGATTTTCTTTGTGCCCAGCGCAGTGCATACATCCTTGAGCAATTTGGAGGAGAAGTTACGTCCCTGATCCGTGAGCAGCCCTTCGGGTGCTCCTTTATCCATGACATAACCATTCAAGAAAGCCTCGGTGATGGACGCGGCCGTTTGGTCAGGCAGAGGCCAGGCCATAGGCCATCGAGAAAAATATTCGACCCCGACCAAAAGGTATTTGTTTCCCCTAGCCGATGGAGGGAACGGGCCCAGGATGTCCAGAGCAACTAGTTCATTGATACGGGATACCTCAATCGAACGTAGTGGCGGAACATAATGTTGCCGAGGCGGTTTCCTCTTCGCACAATCATGGCATGACCGGACAAAGTCAGTGACATCTGCCGTCATGCCGGGCCAAAAGAAATCCTGCTGCATCGCGGCCAACGTTTTCTGCACGCCGAGGTGCATCAATTTGTCAGCGTGCAGAGCGCGGAGCAGGTCGTGGCGAAGGGATGTCGGCACGACCAGGCGTGAACGGTCAGACAATCCATCAGTACACATCAATAGTCCCGCCTGGCCCCGGAACATCTGCCATTTCCATCCCGCCAAATGAGCTCTCGGTTTCCCGATCAGTTTCCGCAGCGGAGCCAGAGAGGCATCGGCCTCCTGCTCGCGTAGCCACACCGAGTGCGGCAAACGCAGTGTATCGTCGGCGCCAACGGGTACATCCTGGCCTTCATCGTTCGACATTGCCCCCATAACCGGACAGGGCGAGGTAGGCAGCGCTGCACAGCGGTGCGTACCCGTCAGACAGGCGCAGGGAGGAGTGGGTGGCAACCTGGAGAGAGCGTCCGCGTTGGCATGGCGAGTACCCTTGCGGTACGTGATATCGAAGGAAAATTCCTGTAACGATTCCAACCACCGAGCCAATTGCCCGATGGTTGGTCCAATTTCAACGAATATTGCAAGGCCGCGTGGTCAGTGCGCACGAGGAATTTCCTTCCATACAGGTACGGCCGGTACTGGCGAACAAAATGTACGATGCTAACAGTTCCCGTCGCGTCACGCAATATCGCGTTTCGGCAGGGGACAGAACCCTGCTGCCGTATGCCACCACTCGCTCGACTCCGTCTTTCCGTTGCGACAAAACGGCTCCTATGCCGATATCGCTAGCATCCGTGTCAAGGATGAACGGCTGGGAAAAGTCTGGGTAGTCGAGCGTAGGCGCCGTGGCGAGGTGATCCCGAAGAGATTGAAAAGAGCGTTCCTCTTCCGGGCCCCATTTAAATCTCTGATTTTTCCCCGTCAGAACATGCAGTGGCTTAGCCAGTGTCGCGAAGTTCTTAACAAAACGGCGATAGTAGGATGCGAACCCAATAAACCGCCGTACGTCGCCCACTGAAGTGGGCGTGGGCCACTCTCGGACACACTCCGTTTTCTGAGGGTCCGTGGACACACCGTCCGAACTGACGATGTGACCCAAGTATCGGACGGACCGTTGCAAAAGGTGGCATTTCTTTGGTTTAAATTTTAGGTCAGCCGAGCGCATCCTCTGAAAGACAGTCTCCAGGCGTTGGAGGTGTTCCTCGAACGTGCGGCTGAATACGATGATATCGTCCAAATATATGAGGCATGTTTCCCACTGCAGCCCCCCAGCACCAGTTCCATCAGGCGTTGGAACGTCGCCGGTGCCGCATTCAAGCCCATAGGTAAACGGTTAAACTCAAAGAGGCCTTGTGGCGTGCGGAACGCCGTTTTTGGTTTTGACGCGTCATCGAGGGGAAGCTGCCAAAACCCAGACGACAGGTCGAGGGTGGAGAAAAAATTTGCCCCTGACAAAGCGTCCAATGAGTCGTCCATCCGTGGCAAGGGGTATGCGTCTGCCACGGATATCTTATTCAATCGGCGGAAATCTACACAAAACCTCGTTCCACCATCTTTTTTCTTAACCAGCACCACCGGCGCGCCCCAAGGACTGTTGGACGGCGAAATAATATCAGCCGCCAACATATCGTCCACCGCGCCGCGCACGTGTTCCCTTTCAGCAGGGCTCATGCGATGCGGGTGCATACAAATCGGTCCCCCGCACCGGTGTCAATATGGTGCGACAAGAGCGAGGTATGGCCGAGATCCAAATCGTTTTTACTGAAAACGTCAGCGTACTCTAACAACAATGAATGCAAAGCGCTCCTTTGCGTGGTCGACAAAGACGTATTTTCCCCGCACAAATCCGCGATCCATCGATCCTGTGAACGATCGCATCGAGGTCCATCAGCGGCTATTTTAGTGGGTGGTTTACCCTCAAAGCTGGTGAAATCGGTAGTGGCGTGAGCCAATACCGATCCAGCCGGAACGACGACCCGGTTCGGGCCCCCATTCAACACTTGTATGAACGGGGCCTGACCCGGCCGAACGATAGTTTGAGCCGCTACCAGGGAAAAAGATTTAGCCACCGAATTCGACGGGGATAACAGCACACCCGTCGCACCGTCCGCAGCATCCAAAGGCTTTCGGTAACGCAGCGGAATAAGCATTTGCGAGCCCGACGGCACCTCTACCGTGGCAGCAACAATCGCGTTAACTGCGTTACCCGGGGGCGAACGGCCCAGCAGGGAAGGCAGGAACGACATCCTACGGCCCCCTGGCATTTCTAAGCAACCTTGGTCGACAAGTATCTTAACTGGCATGCGGCGCAAGAAATCGGTGCCTAATAGGCATGGGACGGCCAGTGAGCGAGAAATCAACACTGGTCCCTCCGCGGTAATATTCCGATAGCAATGCGCACATCAACTTGCCCGAAAATACCCATGCTACCCCCATTAGCAGCAACACACGCGTCATTAACCGGTCGGATCCGTGACGTGGGAATAGACAGGAGATGAAAAATGACATCGGAAATGATGGTGGCAGACGCGCCTGTGTCCACCAAAATACGGACATCGATCCATCGATGGTACCTCGTACCGTCGATGAGCCCGACGCGGCAGCTACCACCCTACGGGCCAATTTTTTCCATTGTGTCGTAGAGTGTGGCATCGACACAGGTGTACAACAATTTCCGTCCGGAGCGCAAACATGTGTGCGAGTGGATGGGTGATGTGACAAGACCTGCCGGGTGTCCGATTTGTGCCGACTCGCCCGAGGGTGTCGTGGATCCGCGTCCGGTGGAGGAGATGGAAGCCGACCCGACGGGAGCTGAGAAGGCAGAGGTCGGCAGCGGCAATCCCGGGCGAAATGGCCCCGTCGGCCACACTTGAAGCACGTGGCCGTCGTCGCCCGGCGGTCGCTCGTCCCGGCCCTGCACGTGGTTGACCCGTATCATCACGCTGGTCGCGCAGCCGGCGTCTCGGGACCCAGCGAGGAACAGCAGCCATCACCTCGTCGTCGCCGGAGTCATCGGAGCAGTGGACGACCCGCCGTGGAGACCACCTCAACGGTGGACCGTCTATTTGGGGATTCCCCGTCCATGCCGCCATCTGATCCCATCGCTTCAGATTGAACTTAGCGTCCAAGCAGCGCGCCACCCATCGCGACGTGAGCGGTTCGTGGCCGCATACCGGCAACGAGATGTTCAGTTCCTGGGATAGCTCCAGCATTCGGGAAAGGATGAGAGGATCCAGGAGATCAGCCGATGAGTCGGGGTAGGCGGCCATGGCCAAAGCTAACAGTGCCCCCCGTAGGCCAAGGGCGATTCCTCTGGTCCTCGACGACGTGACATATATTTTCTGGTAGCCGCCGTCGGCGGGTCGTAAAACTCCGCCATTTCTGTGAAAGCATCACGAGCGTCTTCTTCTTGGTCGCCGGGATGGATCGGAAGACCGCCAGGGAGACATCATCCAGCAGCGTGGGCAGCGCCTCCAGTGCCTCCGCCTCCGTCCATCGAACGGATCTAAAGGCCGACTCCAAGCACCACGTGAAGGCACTCCAAGTGCCCCCAGCGATAAATTCCTTGATTCGAGGAAGGCGATGTCCGCGGTGAATGTCCGACGCCTCGAGCGTCTCCATTCCCGCTTCCCGCGTTCTTCGCGGCTCCATCAAAATGGCGTCCGGCGGCCACGTGGCGACAGCCCGCCAAATGGCGTCCGGCCGCTTGCAGCAGCCCCTCCCAAGATGGCGTCCGGCGGCTCCATCGCAGCCGCCCCGCCCAAGATGGAGGCCTCTCCCCGCGCGGCAGGAGCAATGGCGGATGTCGATTCCCGCTGAAATTCCTGGTCATCGGCACTCGGCTGAAACCCACGTGGCCGACCAGGGCCGCTGAGATGCGACCGCCGTCACCAGATTCAGCAAAATCGCGCGGAGCGACTCGATCTGCTCCGCCATTAGCCGCCATCCCTCGTCCGCCATCGAGGCCGTCGCTTCTGCAGCCTGTCGGCGATGAGCGGCGCCGAGGAGAGCAGCAGCCGGAGGCAAAGGAGCCCCAGCTCCCAGCAGTTCATCCTCGTCCGCCTCAACTTCTTCCTCCGACGGAGGGTCCGGTGGGTTGTTCTTCCTGAGGTACTTGGACATCTTGAAGGATCGTCCAAACGGTCTCAGAAGATACTTCTGACACCAATGTAATAAAGCTCGTTGAGGCGACTTTTGGAATTCGTCTTTTATTCCACTTATCTTACAGTTACTCACGCTACTGATAGGCAGCGTGAAGGGACAGATATAGAGAGAGAGACGCACTGCCACGTGGCAACTCGGAGCCCCGCTCCCGCGTGGCCTCCCTCCTCTGTTCGTTCCCATTCTGACCACGTGTCGTTCGTCTCCACCCCTATTTAATACCCGGGTCACGTGGTACGTTTCCGCCAATCCTCGTTAGCCTGCATGGAATCTTCCAGGCTCCCTCGTCATCTCCCGGGACCACGCCCCTGACTCATCTCCCCATTGGCTGTGGCCAAAGCCAGCAGAACCAATCCTTATAGCTGTCACCTTTCCATCACGTCAGGGCCATGCCCCCAGGCTTCCCCCATTGGCTGTAAACCAGGACCGGCAGAGCCAATCACCATGACGAGTTGTGATACATCAGTGACCGGATATATCCTCATATTACACATGGATTGACCGCTAAGAACCAGAAGTTCAAAAGGGGAGAGGAAGAGGAGGTCGCTTTCGTCACAGTAGGCGACCGCCTCTCCAACGTGCCCCCTTTGGCTTATCCTCACTTCTCCCTGCCCTTCATCCTAGACATAGACGCTAGTGACCTGGGTATAGGGGCTGTCCTGTCTCAGGTGAAGAATGCAGTCGAGATGGTCATTGCCTATGCTAGTTGCATCCTGTCGCCGGCTGAGCAGCGGTATTGTGTTACTTGGCAGGAGCTGGTGGCAATGGTCTGCTTTGTGCAGTATTACAGGCCCTACCTTTATGGCAGGGATTTCGTGGTCCGCACTGACCATGCGGCCGCTCAGGGTTTACCGGCTGAGTCAGGGGCGGGGGGGGGGGGGGTAGCGTGACGTAATGCCCTAGGTAACGGCCGTGAAACGTTTGAAAATCGAAAGGTAGGCGCCCGATTGGCTGTGCAGGATGATGTCACATAACCCTGAATTTTCGGAATCCCAGGGCAAAAAAGGGGGGAGCGAAAAATTATAAAGGAACTTTCTAGATTTGAAATTTTCGTGACTGCAAGGATCCATACTCTTGGTTCTTTCGGTAAAGTCATGTAGGTAAATAAAATAACAAATAATAAATGATAAATAAAATAAAAGATTAATAACATTTTATTTATATTTATCTTTTATTTTATTTATTATTTTATTTACCTACGTGACTATACCGAAGGATAAAGGAACTTCTCCTACAGCCATTCAGCCATCTAGACCGACTCCCAGCTGCTCGCAACATCCGTGAGACGCTAACAAGTGCCGCTACGAGTTGACCCTAGGCAGAGCCCTCTCTGATCGCCGTCTATCCGACTCCCACCGCGTCCGTGCGACACCGTGAGTGCGTCTGTGAGGTGAGTAATAGAGTGGGGGTACACATAAGGGATTGGGTAGTAATAGGTTAGGCGCTGCTCGTACAATATTTGCTCCGGGCCGTACAGGGTTTTTCTTTAAACGCGCCGTTAATAAACTTTAGAATAGAGTATCGGTGCAGTGTGATTTGTGTGTGTGGGTGAAACGTCAGCGTGGTGTTGGTAATTTGAGTGTTTGCGAGGCGCGCGCGCGTATTAAAACATAGACGGCCGCTGACGCGCCCGCGTCCGAGCAGCCGTGCTGCGCGAGTATTAAGGCGGGGGCGGGGTGTGTTAAACTCGCTCGCCAACGCTCGCTCTTGTTTACGCAGCAGCAATAGCATTAACGGCGAGGCGCGTGCGCAACTTCGCGCAGTCCTTTAGCGCTAGCCTTTGTGTGCAAGCGGTTTAGGGCTTAACCCACTGGAGGTGTGCACGCATATTCATACTTCCGTTTCATTTTTTAGCGCTAGCCTTTGTGTGCAAGCAGAATAGGGCTTAACCACCCAGAGGTTTGCGCGCATATTCATACCGCCGTTTTCATTAGCGCTAGCCTTTGTGTAAAACGAACGCCTGTAGCGGCGCGCGTGATTTCGCGCGTGCGTGGGAAATACGCGCCTGCAGAGGCGCGCGCGTGCACGCCACCGCGTTTGCTTTTGTGGTGGTGTACGTGGACGTGTGCGAGATAACCCCGGGTGGTGGTGAGCCAGCCAATAAGCTCTGTCCCTCTGAGAGGGCGTTGGCGCGGGGGGGGGGCGATCACTCGATTGGCGGGGGCCCGGCGAGAGGCGGCCGACGAGGCGGAATGGGGAGGAGTGAAGGGGGAGGACGTCGCGCCCCGCCCGCTCAGCGGAGCGGGGAGGCGGGCGTCGGCCCCCACATTTTTTTATTTATAAAAATGTGATTTACAGTAAAAGTAATTGTATCGTGAAAGAATTGACGTCACATCAAAATGCGCAACTTTAAATAAATATAAACAACACATTCTACTTAATTAAATATACTTTTTAATAAATGTTTTCTCCTACAACATCAGAGTGCAGCGCCACATTAAATACGCACGACAATGACAATACAGTAGTTTAAAGCGATTCGAAGCATGTTTTCTTTTTGGGGGTGGGGGGCACAGCTTTGTGACGTCATATTTGAGGGGGGGGGGTCTGATTTTTTTGTGGCGCCGTGTATCATTTATGTCTTTTGGATGATATTGCAAATGTCGAACGAAAATCGAGCTTCAAACGTGGAACATCCCAGTTGTAATTGGCAGAGGTGGGACAAGTCATTGTTATGCAAGTCCAAGTCGAGTCTGAAGTCATCAAATTCATGACTCGAGTCTGACTCGAGTCCAAGTCACATGACTCGAGTCCACACCTCTGGTAATTGGTGAATGCATCATCCAGTGAACTTATGTATATTGAAGCTCTTTTTCACAGATGTCCAGTCGGATGTTGTGTAATGGGAGGCTGGCCCGGTGTAAGTAAACACGGTTTAATGAAAAACTCATAAACGCTGACACAAGTTAAAACTAAGGGGCTTGTTGACAAAACGACCTTTGCCACGGGGGATGGGGAAAGAGGAAGGGAGGATCTTTCAAGCGCTCCCTATAGGGAACCCACAAAACTGCATTTCCCAAACTCGTGTCCCCTGCAGGATAGCAGCAGCATCAACACCACGGACACTCACGCTCCCCTTGCCAACAACACCATCTCCATTGCCAACCAGCCACGAGATGGCTGCTCTCAACAACACCTCGGTCGTCGTGTACGCGGCCAAAGACCTCCGGCTGGTGAGTAACCGGCCGTAGCGAGGGTTGGTAAGAAACTCGAGCACGGGGAGACTCTCTCAGATCCCCCGCCGGCTTGCTGAGGCTGCTCGCCCTGCCGGTTTCGCGCCGCCTGCATCGGTAGAGTGAGCCAGGCCGGCCCGGGGAGGGAGGTCCCGGGGGGTTTGACGTTGATGGGCAGCGGTGGTGTAAGTTTGGTTGATGCTGAACCACGGCTGCGTAGGCTGGGCCGTGCGGGGTGAGTTGTGTTTTTGAGCTCTGTGTATTGTCGCGTTGCACGTTCATGCGATCAGCTGAAGTAAACGATGCGGCTGTCGACTGTAAGTACTGCCACTCTCAGTGCATTCTTGTCCTACGAGAGACGCGTGCACAGGGATACCCCAACAGTTGACGTAAATGTCAACTGGACTGATTCTCTTCGTGCGAGTCGCTCCCATTGCTTGTCTGTCTTGGTCACCGTGTATTTCTCTATCTCTGTACTGTATACTGTATATATCTTTTTTGTCTATGCCTCTCTTACTCGTATCTGTCTCCGTGCCCCTCTTCATATAGAGTAATCTAATTTATCTCTCCATGTCTCCCGTCTCTCTGCGTCTCACTCTCTCTCCCATATATCCGTCTTGTCTACACGTATCTGTGTTTCACTCGCATCGTCTCAGTTTCTCCCGCTCACAGTCTCTTGTTTCTCCTCGTGTCTTCCGCGACTGTCTCTCGGGCCGCCCTACTGAGTATTATGTACTGAGTATGCAGGTTGGCAGTATTTGTTGTCAGTTTCGGAGCATGGGCCAAAAATGTCAAGCGGCCAACAACAAATAGCACGAGTAATAATATGCAAGCGTTGACACGTCTCTGTGAGCAAAGCTTGGAAGAAATAAACGATGGGAGGGAATTCCAGAGTGGAGCAGTGTGAGGGAAGAAGCAGAGAGAGGAACGTGTTTGTGACCTGCAGTGTGATTAGTGGGTGAGTGAGTGAGTGAGTGAATGGTTGAGTGGGTGAGTGAATCTTATCTTAAAGGAATTTATATAGCACTTTAACCAAGGAATTAACAATGGTACATGTGAATATAATGGTCGAGATGAGGTGAATGAAAGAGACGAGAGGAAGCAATGGGGGAAAATCTGTGATGCGCGAATTCGGTGAAAGTTAAATTGATGGCAGTAAATAATGATGAATGAATTGAATGAATGGGGAATGAGTAAAAGCCATATGGGAATATGAAGAGGAAAAATAATGAATGATGGATCTGGTGGTTGAACATGGCATGGATAAGTCCAATCAGTCTAAACTAAACTTCATATTTGTTACCAGGTAAGGCCAAAGTAATAGCTCAACGAAGTGGCTTATCACATGGAAATTTCGAGCAGCCAAATACTCCAAACGCGTGATGTTGATTCTAAATGTGGAGGGAAAAACCAGAGGACCCAGAGAAAAATCCACGCAACCATGGGGAGAGAGACATGCAAACTCCAAATATACAGCAGCAGGCGTTCGGGTTGGGGTTGAACTCCATGACCTGTGTCAGCCACCGTGTCAGCCCGGTGGAGACTGTGTCCTCAACATGGGGGGTGGAGGAATCAAGGAGTGACTTTCATGAGAAACCGTAACAATGGTAGAAGAGGAATAAGAGTGCTAAGGAGGTGAATAACCACTGTGTAACAAAACAAATTGTTCCTGGTAGTGTTATTTCCAAAAGCAAAGTTTGTGGGGAATAATAGCCACTTTCTATACTTTTTAGGCATAAGCAATAAAAAAAAACAACAACACTTCGTACCCAGGAACAAAATTTGTGTTACATAGTGATATAATGATCACCATTGCTCAACAAAGTACTCAATAGACAGAACCGGGGTAAATGTAGCCGAGTTTGAGTTGGCACAGACCAGGAGTAATCATTATGTTTGCGTTGATGGATTGTTCCAGTCAACCGAGTGGGCGAGATTAATGACTTATTACAGCGATTTAAGCTTCATACAGCACCCAGTCTTTTACGCGTGGTGAAAAAATCATCAACAGTTACTGAAGAACGGAATTCTGGTTCTCTTGTCTTAGATCACCATGAAATCAATTCGAGAAAATGTGACCCAACTAATAGGCAAGCATTGAGACAGAGACAACTGTCGACTGGTTTCATCCTTAACAGGACTAATCAGTACAAGAGTCGGCATGCATGATTTAATACAGTTTTTTTTCCTGCCTGCACTGTTGTTTTCTATTTATGATGGGGGTTTCTCATCGGGTACAGAATTGAATAGTGGTTAGAGCATAGCCACAGGCTTGTGAGCATTTTACAATCAGGCTGCGTTCTTCACTGCTGTGGGTACACTCTCTCTTCCTTGACTCTGCGTACGCAGGTGAACCGGGAAATGCCTGTGCCGGGCCCCAACGGTAAGAGCCGAATCGCAACCATGAAACCACCCATCCGTCCAGCAGTGGAAAAAGTAGAGAGGTATCTAGGAAATCATCCTTTCCCCACCATCTCGGTGATTCCTTGAGTTGTCAAAGGCATACATCTGAATGGTAGCGCCTCTAGTGGCTGAACGTTTATATTGTCTAACCGTGTGAGAACTCTCGAGAGATCAGGAGAATAGTCTCACTTGGAAGAAATGACCTTGGTCAACAAAAAGGATGAAAGGAAAATAAATTAAATAAAGCACAGGAATGGTGCAATGTGAACCATTGATTGTAAGATGCACTGCAAATGCGTGCTCAGTGTCAAGTTATACAAATCTGGTCTCACACATGTGTAGTGGTCTTCAAAATTACTCGCACTGACACGTTGTAACAAGTCATCTGCTTACACTTTATTCACCTATTCTTGCACCAGTTCTAGGCACACCTATAACTATCTGGACGGTCACATATCAACTTCTCCCCGCTCCTATCTATTCTGCACCTCACTTATCCTGCACTCAGCAGCTCTGTTCTCAGCGACTCCGCACACAGCGTCTTCGCATTCAGAGACTCTGCACACAGCAACTTCGCATCTCCACCGTTGCCCTCACCTAAGCTCCCTCAGACCCGCTCACCCATCTGTCCCGGGCGGGGGGTTCAGCCAACTCCCGGCCGGCGACGGCGTGAGGGTTGAGATCCCGTTGACGGCTGGAGCTGCAGCGGTGAGATGTCTTCACTCTTGGTTTCCGGAAACAACTCCAAACTCTCATACACACTCGCGCTTATATCACCCTGCTCATCCCGATCCCTCACGTGCTTCAACTTAAGCTGCCACCAGGCTGGCGCCAGTTGCCCCATTCATCTCTTATCACCCGTCATCTCCCATTTCCTAGGCGTCAACCTCCGGTCACAGCGTAGCACCTGTTTGACCTCGGTTGCACTCGCTTCTCCCCTTAATAACGGGCTGTTTGTCTGTGCAAACCTCATGTTGCAACACGCACATCTGTTCGACCTCAGTTGCACCGCTTAACTGTACGCACCGTGAATTTCTCCCCTCTACACATGTACACCTAACTGGATTATAAGACACATCACCAACTTTTGTTTTCAAATACAAGGGGAGGGGGATACATCTTATAACATGAATAATATAACACAAACAACATATACCAATTCACAATGGGTTTTTTTTGTTTCAGTATAGTTGGTATATTCCCCATGTTTATTCCCAGTTCTCTTCAACGTTCCGTCATGCAACAAATAATCCATGTGGAGATCTCACAGAGCGATTGACACTGACCCGTATTTCTCAGAATGGCCATGCTAGCTTGGAAGCTTTAGTCGGGGTATTCACCTTGGCCTCAAGTAGGCAAATACAAAACTCCCCCGTATAGCCTGCATGGCACACGAGGGGTGGGTGGCCAGCACCATGCCCGGCCATCTTAGTCTGCCTAGTGGCGATGTTTACACACCGGACTAGGTACTAATTTGAAGCTGAGTCGACCTAGGGAGGCCAAGCACCAGTTCATATGATCATCACTAGTGTTGGCCATGAGCGGGAATCGAACTTGGCTCGCCGGGTTTGTAGCACATCGCGCTAACCACTAAGCTACCGCCCCCACGCTCGAATAGGCCTACACACACGGATCCTGCAACCACTGCATCCACCCTTCCCTAGTGCACGTCACAAACCCTCGAGGGTAGTGGTAGAGGCGGTGGTGATGGTGTGATTGGTGGCAGTGATTAAAGTGTGAGCACGCTGGTGGTGACGGTGTGAGTGCAGTGGTGATGAAGGTAGTGGCGGTGTGGGGTGCAATGGAGAAGCGATTAGTGCACTGCGTTACAAACCTGGCGACTCGGGTTCGATGCCCACTAATGGTCGATACCAGTGACAATTATCTAAAGCGGTCCTGGGTCTGTTAAGGCTATAACGTGGATCTTTGTCTTTTCGTGACGGTGTGAGTGCAGTGGCAGTGATAGTGTTGAAAAGAGGGAGGGGTGTTGCGGTGATAGTGGTGGTGAAGGTGTGAGTGTGGTGGTGGTGGTGCGTGTGGTGATTGGTGGTGTAGCGGTTAACACGCTGTGCTACGAACGTGGTGACACAAGTTTTCATAGCTAACAGCAGTGACAATTATCTTAACTGGTTTTGGGCCTCCCCTAGGTCGACTCAGTCTCAAATTATTACTTGGTGAAATGTGTAAACATCGCCACTAGGGAGACGTGCTGGCCACCCACCCCATGTGTGCCGTGCCGGCCTTCATAGCTGCTCGCTAACAGCACTTGCTCCTACAGTTAGTTAAGGCTACAGGGGGATTTTTGTCTTTGTGGTGGTGGTGATAGTAAATGTGTGGGTATGCATGCACCTCTGTGCCATGTGACCCCCCAACAGAGGTGCTGCTCAAGATGCACTCGGTGGGCATCTGCGGTTCGGACGTGCACTACTGGCAGCACGGCCGCATTGGAGACTTCGTACTTCGAGAGCCAATGGTGCTGGGCCACGAGGCGGCTGGCACCGTGTGCGCCGTGGGGGCCAGCGTCACCCACCTCGTTCCTGGTCTGCGGCACGGACGCGCCCTCGCCGCGCACAGCGCACTATCGGCATGATCGCGACGCGCGCAAGACTCCTTGTGATAGAACGTTCGCGGAGCGTGTTACGTGAACGCGATACATGATGGGCATGTTTGCCTGGCCCGCGCAACTTGCAAATGGGTGACGACGTGACAAGCACGAGATTCGTTGCACACCTTGAGCAAAACACACGACGCACGCCCAATATATGGATACGCTTACGTTATGATTATATTATTCCTGCAGCGGCTTTTGGCTAACCATTGAATGAAGACGGTCACTGCATCGCACGTTTTCAGATCCGATTCTGCGGCCGTCTTGAATGCTTCCGATATTAGGAAGCCACTGGAGCTATGACCTTTTAAATCTTTGAACTACTTTTTGTGCATTAGTTGTTGTCCTTCCATGCACCTTGCATAAGCATGGTTGGCCACATACAGTACAAAAGAAGTTCAACATGCATTCGTCATGTTTACAATATACATAACATGCAGGAGTCATGCAGAGAGTAAATTAAATGCTCAAGACGTGCTCAAGATGCACACAAGACTTGTGGCGTGGGTGAAAAAAACGGGCGACGCACTCGCTGCACACAATGTGCTCACAGCTCGTGACATTTATGGAGCTCGAATGCACAACACGCAAAAATACACGCAATACACGCAAAACACGCCAACGGTCCAGATACATTTTTTACGAAATGCTCACAATAGGCCCAGCACACGTGACACAAGATGCATTCACAACAAGGTTGCCACACAATTGTAATGAATCATTGTCGGGGAATCATAGTTAGGCTCGGAGTTGCTGTGTGACTTGACCCTGCATCATCCATCGCCTGCTCTGAACGTCATTTGTCCACGTGTCCATCCGTGTGCGCATGTCTATGTGCACGTGTGCGTCTGTCCATGGAGAGCAGGATTGCGGTCGTTAGCGTACGGCACTACAAACCTGGCCACCTAAGTTTGATTACCGCTTATGGCCAACATCAGTGTTGAATATCTGCACTAGTCTTGAGCTTCCCCGAAGTCAACGGAGCTTTAAATGGGTACTTGGTGTGGTATGTAAACATCAACACTCGGGAGGCAAAAACGGCTGTGCGTGGTACTGGCCACCCACCCCTTCATGGGAGCGGTAGTGTAGTTGTTAGCATGCTACGAACCCGGCAACCCGAGTTCGATTCCCCTTCATGGCAAACATCAGTGAGGATTATTTGAACTGGTCCTGGGCCTCTCCTAAGTTGACTCGGTTTCAATTGAGTACCTGGTGCGATGTGTAAACATCGTCACTCGGGAGACAAAGGCGGACGGGTGTGGTACTGGCCACCCACCCCCTCGTGTGCCGTGCTGGCCTTCATAGGTGCTCGCTCATAGCACTTGCCCCAAAAAGTCTGTTAAGGCTATACAGGGGATCGTTGCCTTTGTCGCACTTGTGCCCAGGGGACCGGGTGGCCATTGAGCCCGGCGTGCCGCGCGAGAACGATGAATTCTGCAAAAACGGTCGCTACAACCTCTCCCCCAGCATCTTCTTCTGCGCGACGCCTCCCGACCACGGCAGCCTGTGTCGCTACTACACACACAGTGCCAGCTTCTGCTACAAGTGAGCGCCGCCAGTGTTCAGTAGACTCGGAGTCGTTCACCCCACGCCCCCCCGCCGCCTTCCCAGTGCTCCAATGATTGTTATAATTATGGCCAGTGGTTCGATTTGAAATATACAGACTTTTTTTCTGGTGTCGTTTTGACCGTCTTGTTTGTACGGTTTTGTTCAATGCGTTGGGACTACATTCTACATCAGTTCATAATTTCAATGAATAATTTGAATGAACCTTGAATAATTCAATGCAGCCTGCACAATTTGCATCGCAGTGGCGAGGGTTAATATATATTGTCATCAATATATGGATCCATATGTGCCTATTGTTCATCTTACCATGTGCGATGCCAACTTCTCTTCCACTTAGGTCACCACAAACATTTTCTGCTGGAGTCATTAGGAATATCCACCACTGACTCAAAACTGGAAAAGCAGAGCATTTTCCCATGCTGCTTAGAACAAGGGAACACTTGGGATTGTATTGTGCTGGTTGGAACTGTTATGTGTCACTGTTTCTTTGAGCTTATATCACAGCACACTGCGACACTGCAGAACATCTAATGTGACCTTGCATGAAGAGGCTTGAGAATGAATGCACCTCGCAGAGAGACGGAGACAGAAGGAGAGAGAAGTCCTGTGCCTGGACTAGAATACGGAGGAGGGTGGTTGGCGGAGAGGTGTGGGGGCTTTCACCAGTAACCATGGTGATGGCGGTGCTGGTCCGGTGCAGGCTTCCCGACAACATGAGCTATGAGGAGGGGGCCCTCATTGAGCCGCTCTCCGTGGGTATCCACGCGTGCCGCCGCGCCGGCGTCTCACTGGGCAGCTATGTCTTCATCTGCGGGGCAGGTGGGCTACCCCTTACCACCTGACCGCACTTCACCTGGTATCACCTGACCTGCTTACTACTCTCCTGGTGACTGGTTGCTCATCTCCTGACCATGCCTCATCTGGACAATAACTTCCCCTGGTCTCATCTGGTTACTACTCACCTGGTTTCTTACCTTACTTGACCACACCTCATCTGGTTACGCACCTAACCTTATCACACCTCACCTGACTTGCACGAACTCACCTCACGCAGTCTGAATGAGGGTACTGTGGAATCAGTATTATTTATTCGAAACATTGTGGAGACGTGGGGAGCGATGTCACCTCTTTGATCCACCTCCCTCAGGTCCCATTGGGCTCGTGTGCCTCCTCGTGGCCAAAGCGATGGGGGCGGCAAAGGTGGTCATCACAGGTACATAGCTTCCATCATAATCGTAATAGCCACCATCATCACTTTGACCATCATCATGCTTTCCACTGTCATAATTGTCATCTTCATCACTATCATTGTCATCACTCCTTACCATCATAGCAATCACCATCATAAACAGTCATCAATTATCACTACGACTATCATCGTCACCACCACAGGTATTATGTAACGATCCACACGGCAGCCTGTGGCCTCCCCGAAAGGGCTTTACCGCAGTTTGCGATCCGCTGCGTTGAGAGGCTCGTGCGTACGTATGTTGAACTTCTTTGGCACGTATGTGGGTAACCACTCTCATTTTTGCAGACCTGTCGAGCGAGCGTCTGGCGAAGGCGCGGGAGCTGGGCGCCGACTTCGTCCTCCTGTCGGGGGCGGCAGCGAGGCCGAGGCCTCCTTGGGCGGCCCGCAGGACATGGCGCATCGCGTCGCCGAGTGCCTAGGCGGCGCGCCACCTGAGATCTCCATCGAGTGCACGGGCGCTGAGGCGTGCGTGCAGGCCAGCATCTACGTGAGTTGACCCGCACGTCCGCTGTGATCAACCTGGAGGTAACCTGTACGAGCCGATTAGCACTGCAGGGAATTTAATATATAATTTTTTATTTAACTACGAGTTAAATTCAGAATATTTTTTATTGCTCATGTGGTAGTGTTGTTTTTTTCTTTTGATTTATATTTTGTTGCTGTACTTTAATGATTTGGTTCGCTTGTCATTTTGGTCACCCAAGTAACTTTTTCAAATAAGACTATCCAGGCGCCAACGGCCCGCAAATCATCCCTCCACACAAGCAATCTGTCCGGAGAGCCGCCCCAGGCACCCCATCCGACGACGGGCACCCCTTAGACTTGCTCGCCTGACCCGCAAAGCTGCAAGCGAATCATTCAACAACTGTTCGCGGACGCAAACGGAACGCGGCAAGTTTAAAACCCAATCAGCCGGCTCAGGACAGGTCGAGTCCGTGGACTTATCCACCGCGGACATGACAGGTCGAAGTAGCTGAGGGGGCCGCGTGCACCGATTTGTGCCCGAGGCACATGCGCAGGCGGTACCATGCGGCAGTCGAGAGAGCGCGTCCGCATTACCGTGACGAGAACCCTTACAGTACTGAATGTCAAACGAGAACTCCTGTAAAGTTTCCAACCATCGCGACAGCTGGCCCGAGGGCTGGTCGACTTTCAAAGAGTATTGCAAGGCCGTATGGTCCGTGCGCACAATGAACTTACTGCCGTATAGGTAAGGCCGATATTGGCGAACAAAATGGACGATAGCCAATAATTCTCGACGGGTGACGCAATAGCAGGATTCCGCCGAAGAGAGAACGCGGCTCCCATATTCTACAAGACGTTCGACGCCGCCCTTACACTGAGATAGGACAGCACCAATGCCCGTATCACTGGCGTCCGTATCCAAAATAAAGGGCAAAGAAAAATCAGGGTAATCCAGCATCGGTGCTGACGCCAATCGATCGCGTAGGCCGCGAAACGCCTTCTCCTCCTCCGGGCCCTATTTGAACCTCTGATTTTTCGCCGTGAGGAGGTGCAGCGGCCGAGCGATCGAAGCAAAATTTGGCACAAATTGGCGGTAATAGGATGCAAAGCCAACAAATCGACGTATGTCCCCGACCGATGTAGGAGTCAGCCAATCCCGAACGCATGCCATTTTGTGCGGGTCCATGGCCACTCCGTCCGGGCTGACAATGTGACCCAAATAGCGCACGGAATGTTGCAAGAGGTGGCACTTTTTGGGCTTAAGTTTCAAATTTGCGGAACACATCCTAGCAAAAACGGCCTCCAATCGCTGAAGGTGTTCCTCGAACGTGCGGCTGAACACAATGACGTTGTCCAAATATATCAGGTACGTGTCCCACTGGAGCCCGGTCAACACCAGTTCCATCAACCGTTGGAACGTAGCGGGAGCGGCGTTCAATCCCATGGGGAGACAATTAAACTGAAAGAGCCCTTGAGGCCTACGGAAAGCCGTCTTTTCCCTCGACGACTCGTCAAGGGGGAGCTGCCAGAACCCGGAAGAAAGATCGAGGGTCGAAAAAAATCTCGCCCCAGACAAGGCATCGAGGGAATCATCCATACGCAGCAGGGGTACGTGTCCGCCACGGATACCTTATTCAGCCTCTGGAAATCAACACAAGAACAACCAGAGCACCCCATGGGCTATTGGACGGAGAGATGATGTCAGCGGCCAGCATGTCGTCCACCGCACCGTGAACATGATCCCTCTCCGAGGGGCTTAACCGGTGCGGATTCATACGTATGGGGTTAGCTACCCCGGTATCAATGTGATGGGAAAGCAGCGAGGTGCGCACCAGGTCGAAATTATTTTTGCTAAACACATCGGAATATTTGGACAACAGCGTGCGGAGCGCGGACTTCTGGTGTGTAGTCAGGGATGGGTTCTCCTGACACAACTCGGCGATCCATCGATCGTCCGACGATCATGAAGCTGTAACCCCCGCTGCCAGACCTTGCCGACCAGCCTCAACATGGGCCGTGAACGCGGTAGTAGCATGGGCCAAAACCGTGCCGGCCGCCACCAAGACATTTTATGCACCCCCGTTCAGAACTTGTAAAAACGGAGGTTGACCCGGCCGAACAATTGTCTGAGCTGCAACCAGCACTAGGCCGCCAGTAGCGGTGTTGGACGGCGACAGCAGCACCCCCGCCGCCCCGTCAACACCAGGCACGGGCTTACGATAGCGCAGGGGAACGAGCATTTGCGATCCCGGAGGAATATCAACAGAGACGTCGGCCAGCGCCAGCACCGGAAGGTCCGGGACGGAACGGGCCCATGGTGACGGCAAAAAGAAAACCTTACGTCCTGCCGGCAACTCAATGCACCCGGTACCCAGTAGGCAAGGCACAGCGAGGGACCTGGAAATCAATACCGTCCCCAAAGTTGATACGTTCCCAATGGAAATGTGCGCTTCAACCTGGCCCACAATGCCCATACTACCCCCATTAGCAGCAATACATGCATCGAACACCGGACGTACCCGCGACGCAGGAATGGACA